GGATGGATGGATGGATGGATGGATGGATGGATGGATGGATGGATGCATATACAGAGGACTGTGGGAACACTGTGGAAGGAGGAACAAACTCTGCTATCATCTTACTTTTCTAAGTCATAGCATGGAAATATGTTTGGCATGTTGAGTCTTTGTTTCCTTTGGGATACAAATATACCTTATAACTTTGAGTCTTTGTTTAAAGGTCACTTCCTCAATGAGACCTCTGCCAACACACCTTACTGAATTTGTTTTCCCTTTTTTGTCTCTCATATTACTCTGTACTTTTCCTTTCGTCTTCATCATAGTCTATGATTACATACTGATTTGTGCAATCATTTATTTAACTTTTGTCTCCTCAAGTAGACCATGAGTATTAGAGAGAGTGTCATGTCTTTTTGTCCATTGCTGTCTTTCTCGGGCTTAGTGTCAGGCCAGACACACAGAAAACTCAATCATCATTAGATGAGCCAGTATTCACAGCACAGATTCTAAAAAACTTCCAAACAAGTGAGCAAGAAAAAAAAATTCTACACGCATACTGGCACATGCATTTTTCAAGCAGAAAACACATTTACATATTTTTAATTAAAAAAAAATAGATTTTCAAATTTCAGAACAGTAAACACGTAATTTCAAAGTTCAGTAATGGTGAATGCAAAGAACTGGGTCATGATCTTGGTTTTGACCTCAACTTTTCCTGTACCCTTTAGTCAGTTATTCAATTACACTGGGTCTGTGTTTAACCATCACCCTTCCAGGTGTATTGTGAAAATTAATGAGCTAATATTTACATGGTTCCCAGAAGGGATTCTGCTGCAAAGTCCTAAAGAAAAACAAGAGAACAAAATACAATTTTCAAATTCTAAATTCATGGGTTTTATTTAGCCTTATTGTGGCTAAAATATTTCTTTCGGCTTCTGGAATATTCTTCTCACTTCTCCTCCTCTCCTTGCCTCGGCATCTTCTGTGCTTCTCTCTGCACGACCTCCCTCTGGGCTCCCCCTCGTCCACTCTCTCACTCCACGGCACTGGGGAGGCCTGCTTCATGCCAGGCTGTGCTGGGTGCTGGGAGCACCACAGTGACACCATCTCTGCTCTTTTACTAGGACCCTACGTAGATGGTCACATCTCCATTGTTAGCCCTAATGTCCTCATCAGGCCTCAACTCTGCCATTTATAACCACTTGCTGAACATGTTCAACAAGGCTTCATGATGATACCTCTAGCTCAACATGTTTAAAATTAACCAGGTCAGCATTTCCTCTGACTGCCCTCTTCTTGGCCATAGGATTACCATTTTCTAAGGAATCCAAGCTCAAAACCCTGCAGTTATCATTCATTCCAACCTCTCCATTAAGCCCCTGGATCCAATCACCAAGCAAATCCTTCATGAACAATAATCATTTCCTGCCACCTCTGCCACTTCCCTAGTCTACACTCTTATCACCTTTTACCAAGGCTGTTGCAACTGCCTCACCACCAATGATTTATATATGGTCTCTCACCACGTTAGGTCTCTCTCCACAAAAAAGATATGACTTTCCTAAAATAAATTAGGATTAACATTCTCATCTCTCAGAAACCCTCACAGGTTGTCCTCTACTGAAGGATAAAGACTAGACTTTTCATTCTGGCATTCAAGGTCATATAAAAACTGCCACCACCTACAATTACAGGCACATCACCCCCCCACACCATGATGGACCCTCTGTTCCAGTCAGCCTGAGAGATTCATTGTCCCCTGACACCTGGAGCATAAGCTCCAGGCAGGCAATGTAGACTGTATTAAGTCTATTTTCTGTTGCTTATAACAGAATACCTGAAACTGGATAATTTATAAAGAAACGAAATTTATTTCATACAGTTTTGGAGGCTGGGAAGTCCAAAGTCCAGGGAGCACAACTGGTGAGGGTCTTCTTCTGGGAGGAAACTCCCAACAGGGTCCGGTGGCGATGCAGGGTATCACGTGGAGAGGATGGCAAGAGCCCTCTCATGTACTCTCCTTATAAAAGCACCAGTCTACACCCACGATAACCCATTAAACCATTAACCCATTACTACAAGAATGCATTAATCCATTCACGAGGGCACAGTCCTCACGATCCAATAACCTCTTAAAGGCCCCACCTTTCAAGTACCATAACTGGATCTCCCACCCTCTTAACACCATTACAATGGGAATCAAGATTCCAGCACATGAATGTTGGGGGTACATATTCAACCCATAGCATAGACTCAATTTCTCCCCTGCCATTTGCTCAGTGGGAGCCTTTGGACATATTCTACTCTTTGTGCTTCCTCTTCTAATTTTTAAATACAGATTATAAAGGTAACTGCCTTGTGGGGTGAAGATTAAATAAATCACTTCTGTAAAGAGCTTGGCATTGTGTTGAGCTCCTGAGTGTTCACTATCAGCCAGCATGACTGCTTCTCCGTGTGTGCATGCCTGCTCCCCTCCTCACTCCATTCCTTCAGCCTGAAATTCTTTTCCCCTCATCTACCTTTACCTGGATCTTAAATAGTCCTCGAAGGCATACCTTCCTCTATGAACTTCTGCCAATGTACATTGACTCCTTTTTTTTCCCTCTCATGTTTACTAATCTCACCACATAGCTGGTGTTTAGCTTTAGCTTGCTCATTACCTTTTCAATCAATCTTCTCTATTTCAGCTAGACTGAAGTTTCTTGATGCAAGAGCTTTGTCATACACAGTACAAGAGTCTCAGCAACTGAGCAGTTCACAAATGTCTGAGTGTTATGCTGAGCTCAGCACAAAGTCACACAAAACTACTTTTCCTTTTTTCTCAAGCATTTCACATGATATAACAAAAGAGAGGAAGGGAGAGATATTTCAATCATCATTAGGAGAAAGAATCATTGCCTAGCAATTGCCTATTTTACAAAATACCAAAATAAGAATGTTGCTTAGTTAATTCAGGGTGGGGTTGGGGAGTGTCACATCAGTTCTGATCACCACTGGTCAGGCGAGTCAATCAAAAGGGAAGAAAGAAAAGCCACAGCCAGAAAGACCTGCCAGAGCAATGCTCCAGCATGACCTGAAACTCATCTCCAGGGGGAGTGTAAGCTAAAAATACGAATAGTGAAGAAATTACCCACTAAATGCTTGCCACAGTTCCCACACAATAGGTGTTTAATCAATGTTTGCCGAGCCAACAAATAATGAATGAACGATAGATGGAAAAGCTCCTAATGGGGACGAAATTACCCACTAAATGCTTGCCACAGTTCCCACACAATAGGTGTTTAATCAATGTTTGCCAAGCCAACAAATAATGAATGAACGATAGATGGAAAAGCTCCTAATGGGGACCTAAATATTTGGAATAATTGTCAATCTTTTAGAGGATTAAAACTGAGGATTATCATTTTCTTACCAAGACTTCCATTCAGTCTTTGTCAGAGATAGAAAACAAGACTGGATGAACCACTGATGTGACCTAATACAGCAATTCTTACAGTTTTATGCATTATTGCCCAGATCTAAGCCATGATAAAAATTATATCTGGTCTACACTCAAGAAAAAAAAATTTGCAATCTGTATTCTAAAAATGTTAGCTCTCTTTTAGGACCTTAACTGTAACATTAAAGTTCTAGTGTTGTCTCATGTAATTGCTTATATACCACAGGCAGCTAAGTTTTATTTCTTCAAACTTAATGGAAAACCAAAGGACAATCTCTCTGTATCATATAAAAATATAGAACATTAATGAGGAAAGCATCTGATACTTACACTTCCTTTAGACTTTCTGGATCCTACAATAGGAGGTAGTGAAGAAGCTTTTTGGCTGTGGAAACAAATTGCAATTTAGAAATCTGAGCACTATTTACAAATAATATATAATGCAAAATAACTGTCATCACCACCTGGAAGTTAACTGTTTCCTGACAGCTGTGTTTTACAGAAGATACCATATACTCTCCCAGTTTCACAAAGACTACCATAAAACTTCCAAATTCCATTCCAAAATATTTTAAATATTTTCCTGTATACTATTTTAGTTGACGTTTACAAATAAACTTTTAGAACCACCTTAATTTTTTTTCATAGCAGTTTTATTCAAATCCCAAAGTTTTCTATCGGTATTTCAAAAAATTATTTCCCCAGCTGAGTAATGATTTTGCCAGACTGAGTTAAAAACAATAAATTTCCATTGTTTTTATAATGTCTACTATGTCTATCTATGATAGAAGGGGATAATGGTAAAACACTGGCATTTACGTTCAGGGAAATTTTTAACCATTCTCACCAAAAAATAGAAAATTCTTTTAGACAATAAGTTGTTCTGCAGATGTCTGTATTATTAGGAAATGTCCTGTCTTGAAACCCAACTGAACCTCTCCAAAAATAGGAGAACACATATATAAGGGTAAATTGCACTAATTTGTATGAGAAAGGCCAACATGAGATACAGTTTTCTTATTACCGTCCTATACACACTGTAGCTCACAACAGGTTAATCTGGTGTGGTTTAGCAGAGATTGTTAAAGGATTTGATTTCATGGCTGGGTAAGGTTGGTTAGCAATAAGTCTGCTGGTAAATAATTCTAAAATGCTGGAAAACCATGTGCTCTTGCATAGTTCAAACACCACCGCTAAAATTCTGTTTCATCTATTATGTGTTTAGAAAACCTTGGCTAGCCTCTTCGTCAAGCTACACAGATTGTAACTTAATGGAAAACACATTGGTGACATTCTGCTCTCTCTGCGAGGACAGCCACAAAAAGTCGGTTTCCAATAGCAAAGTGGCCACTAAATCTCTGTGAAAAGCAACAGAGATGGATCCCAGGGCACCGTGAGCAAGCCAAGGGGTCCTGCATCAGGGTCCAGAGCTCTCCATGCACAGCTCTGCAGCACATCTGCTTGGCTGAAATAAAGCATCTTTCACAAATATATGACACTGCATAGAGAAAAAATGTTCTCACTGCATTGTGTGCAATTAAAAGTGTAATCCTTATAATTTTGCATGCATTAACTGTACACCCAGCCTCTCTATTTGCACAAGTGGAATTATATTGGTTTTTTTTTTCTTTTTTTTTGTCTTTTTTCTGTGTCCGGCAACGGGATCGCAACCCTCGGCGTCACCCCCACGCCTCGCTCAGCCAGTGAGCGGGAACTGGTCTGTATGTGGGATCCGAACCCTCGGCGGGAGCGCCACCGCGCTTCCCAAGCGGCGCACTATAGCAGTGCGCCACCGGGCTGGCCCGATATATTGTTTTATATTCTACAGTTATTATTAAAAGGAATATAAAATATTATATATATTTTTAATACCTTTGGGTGTTTCTATCCAAGCCAACTGAAAAATTATTTGGTCTGGCTAAATTAAGACACGAAAACTTCTAATAATGTTTGCTATAGAGAAGCTCATTGCCCTGTATCTTCTTCACAAGAATAAATCTTTATATTTACTATAAAAGTGGTACGTGGTAATATATATTTACTATTTAGCCTTTTACAGATTCCTAAAAATTATGTTTTTGTGCAATAGCTCTCAATCTCCCATCATGACAATAAAAACAAAGATCAATATATACCATACATGCCTTCCATTCTAACTGATAAATAGGATTATCAAATACATAAAATACAGTGGTGGTCAGCAAAAAGACCCAGTGCTATTTCAAGCGATAACTAAAACAGGAGGAATGAGTGAATACGGATGAAGACTTACCCAAAAGGCCTTCTCATTGTTGACTTGTCAAAAAGTAATTCACCATAAGGCAATTTCTTAAATTTGTCTCTGCCAACAGCCACATAAAACTGCCCATTCTCCAGCTCTGCCCCACTCTCAACAAGTTTTCCTTCTAAAGTATAAAGTCTGTCAAAATATTAATGGCAACAATTAGAATTTTAACCAGCATTTATAAACCTCTTAAAATTACAAAGTAAATAAAAACATTTTGTTCTTAATTGGACTCATCTGTTACTATTCTAATTATTGAATTATAAATGCCAAGAAGTCATCAGATTCAACTAACTGGCAGTGTTATAATATAGATACAGTGACTATCTAGCTGTACAGGGTTTCCTCCCAGAGTCTAACTATCCAGCATAAGGATCTCCCGTTGCTGCCATGGTAAGATTTTAGAGAGGAAAAAATTAACTTGTACAGAATGTGGTGCTTTTCTGTTTTTTTAAGGTAATTTTTTTCTTTTTTTTTTAAACTTTATTTATATTGATTTTTGTGGGATACCGTGTGCTGTTTCAGTACATGCCTATGCTGCACAATGATTCAGTTTGGGTAGACAGCACAGTTTTGTACCTGTGAGTCCACCCCATCCCCTCTCCCCCACTCTGAACGTGGTGCTTTAAATGAAGTTCAGCTTCCATTGAAGACTGATTCTTCTATTTATATTTTGTGAGCACTTTTAAAATTTATTTTGTTAGTGTATCTATCAGGCTGACAAGCTTCTGACTATATTTTGTGCAAGAACAGCCCCCAGCCAATTATTACATCCAAACACATGCAGAACTAGGTCAGGAAAAAAAAGGGTGAACAGCCAGGAGGTGAAAGAATCCGCTGCCGGTGTTAATGATGCAGAACTGCATAGCATTCGTGCTTCTTTCTTTTTTTGCTGTCCCTCTTAAGCAAGAGAGTGCACATTACATCTTGCCAGAATCAAGCAGTTTCACAAGAACCTTCCTTTACTGTAAAACTGCTGCTACAAACTATAATATATTACTTATTAAAAGAACAGTGACAATTTTACTAGATGACTTAAAGTGTCCACGGAATTTTTTTTAAAGAACAGGAAGAAACAAACTATTAGAAAATCAAACCAGAAAGACAATGCATGTTTTTGAAGGTTATAAACAAGAGTCATTAACTGGAAGCATTTCAGGATAATAATAATGAAAAAAAAAAAAAAAAAACCTCAGTCTCTTTATATTACATAACAAAGGTTAATGACATTTTCAAAGTGAAAAAAATAATAATAATCCATTGACCTGTCAGCTTGTTTACTCATTATATAAATGATCATATAATATGAAGCCATGAAGTACAATGAAAAAGCCACCAAAATCCCTGAAATGTTCTTGTTCTTAGTTAGTATACAGCTGCTAAAGTGTCTTTCTTTATAACATTGTACTTCTACTCTACAAGTTTAACTATCAACACCTAAACCAGATTTCTGTTTTTCCTGCCTTGACCTAGACCGGGGTTTCTGAACAGTGGCACCACTGATATTTTAGGCCAGACAATTCTTTGTTGGAGAGTCTGTCCTGCACATTTTAAGATGTTTAGCAGCACCCTTGGCCTTCACCCACTAGATGGCAGTAGTAGCCACCCCCATCCCCAGTAGTAACTACCAAACATGGCTCCAGGCACTGCCAAATGTTCCCTAGGGGCAAAATCGTGCCTGGTTGAGAACCACTGCCCTAGACCCAGACATTCTTCTTTCATTTTCCTTCAGAATAATAAATGTGAATTAGTAGTTAGCTTTTATGGGTAGAAATTAAAAGGCAGCATAGCTGTGGACTCTGGAAACAGCCAGGATTTGACTGGTTTCCTCTGCAGGTAGGTAAAGGATCCTGAATAAATTCTAACCCATGATTGTAACCTTCTTTTATACGGCCCTTGTTGACATGCTTTCTTCCTTCGCTACAAAACACAGGAAACATAAACAGGGAGTCAAACCAATTTTTATAGGATGCATTTGACATATAAATATGTTGATGCATATAGGGCAACCTATTAATGTTCTGCTAAGGTAACATGAACATGTCCCAACTGAGCATCAGCCAAAATTCACTCATATCTGGCATTTCATTAAGAATTAATGTTCATGTGTTCAGGGAACATATAACTATACTTTCATTTCTATGAAAGTAGATCTGTTTTATTTTTATGTATAAATCTGTTCAGATTAATACATGTATGAATAGGTATATCTGGGCATGAAATTGTCTGTATATATCTTTGTGTGCTTTATATTATTTATTGTGTGGGTTTACACTTACACATATGTCAAAAGAAAAAACTATGTATCTTTTTAAAAATCAATATGTAATTATTGTGATCTGCCTTCACTCCTGACACTAAAATAAAATCCAGAAGAATCAAGGGTTTAAATAAAATTTTAAAGTACACATGAAGAATATTTTTATAATCTTGGAGTCAGGAAGATCTAAGCTACTCATAAAATTCAGTGATCATAAGAAAAGATTGAAAATTTGATTACATCAAAATTCAGGATATCTGTATGCAAAAAGGAATATAAAGAGAGTAGCTTAGTAGTTAAGAGCATAGGCTCTGAGCATAGTCTTGGGTAAGTAACTTTCCCCCTCTGTGTCTCACATTTTATGTCTATTAAAAGAGAATAGGGCCGGCCCCGTGGCGCGCTCAGGAGAGCGCAGCGCTGGGAGTGCAGCAACGCTCCTGCCGTGGGTTCGGATCCTATATAGGAATGGCCAGTGCGCTCACTGGCTGAGCACGGTGCGGGCGACACCACACCAAGGGTTGCGATCCCCTTACAGGTCACGAAGAAAGACAAAAAAAAAAGAGAGAATAATAACACTACTCACCTCCTAGGGTCACTGAGCTAAGTTAAAAATGTAAAGCATTTGTAATAATGCCTGGCACACAAGAAATAATCAACAGATGTTGTTGTTGTAGATTAAATAAATAAAAATGAAGAAATGAAACACTATTTTAGCCAACCTTGAGTGAAAAGACAAAATGTTTTGTTAGTTATACAATATAGATAAAAGTATGAAAAACAGGCTCTCTCATGAACTTTTCGTGAGAGTACACACTAGCACATACTCTTTGGAAGACAATTTGCAGCATCTACCAAAATTTAAAATGCATTTGCCACTTCATGCAGCAATTCAAACTCTAGACTTTAACCTCCTGTAAACTCTGCTTATATACAAAGACATACCCATGTAATAGCAAAAGATTGGAAATGATCTAAATTTCCATCAAGAGGAGACTGTTAAATTAGGGTACACCTGTAAAATGGAACACTTTGTAGTCATTAAAAATAATAATAGGAACAACCTCAACTTTTTTTTTTTTTTTTTTTGAAGCTCTTACAACGAGAAAATGGAGGGGACACATCTGGGTGGGAGGGGGGAGAGGGAGGAGGGAGGGAGGTTTTGGTGATGGGACACAATAACTAACTACATTGTATATTGACAAAATAAAAAATAATAATAATAATAATAATAGGAGTTATTCGTGCTGATAAGCATAATCTCTAAGATTTGTTATTGTAAGAGAAAAGCAAGGGTAGTGTGTATACGTATTTACTTATTTATTTATTTATACATATATATGTGCATGTGTTCCCATTTATGTTTTTAAGAAATAAAAGATGTATGTGCCGGTATATGCATAGAATATTTCTGGAATGATGTAGAAACATACCAGGGAGAGGGACTGGGGAGCCTGAGGTGGGAGAAACACTTTTTATTTATACCCTTTATCTTATTAAAAATTTTTTGCCACAGGTAAAGTATTACTTTCTTTTTATTTTATTTATTTATTTTTTATTTATTTATTTATTTTTTGTCTTTTTTCGTGTCCGGCAACGGACTGCAAACCTCAATGTCGCGCCTGTTTTTTTTTTTTTTTTTTTTTTTTTTTTTTGTCTTTTTTCGTGTCCGGCAACGGACTGCAAACCTCAATGTCGCGCCTGTACCGGACCGGGACCGGCAACGGGATCGCAACCCTCGGCGCTGCGCCCGCCCCTCGCTCAGCCAGTGAGCGGGAACCGGTCTGTATGTGGGATCCGAACCCTCGGCGGGAGCGCCGCCACGCTTCCCAAGCGGCACACTGTAGCAGTGCGCCACCGGGCCGGCCCCATACTTTCTTTTTATTTTTAAGTATTACTTTCAATTAAAACACCCAAATTATGTTTAAAATCTCACTGGCTATGAACTGTATATATTAACATATGTCAATATACATACATTATCTGCAAACACATTTAACTGAAAGACACAATATGCAACCATCTGATAATTTATTTCACCATGTGTGTGTATATAAATATACATATGTACATACACATATATGAAAACAGGCACAAGAGCTCACAAGCAAGAGTATACTGCACCAGTGCACTATATTAGAGAGACTGGGGTGAAGATAGTTAGGGAGGACAACCAAATTCTCAACTGGATTTCACGTATTTGTATGTCTATATGTATACATATACATACATGTACACGTATTCGCATACAGATGTACATTTTGTGTACATCTATCTATTATTTGTAACTCTCCCACCTGAAGGAAAATAAATACGTCAGCCTCTATCAAGGGATAATTTCATAGGCTTCACAATTTAAAAGCCATGATTTCAATCTTCATTTAAATTTCAGAACCTGAGAAAAATGCTTTTGATTTTTTACATGTAGACAACCTCACTTAATTATCTTCTCTTTAGCCTGCCTCCTTCTTAAACCCACTAACACCACCTGATATCTAGTTTTTACCTTTGGCAAACAGTTTGGACCATCAAATAATCATAAATGTCTCCCAGAAAAAAAAAAAAGACAGTTATAGCTGGCTCTCTCAAGGAAAGTCCTTCTCAACTAACACAATGACACAATGTTGAAGCTTGCCTATTTACTCTAAACCGAAAGAATAAAAATAGTTAATATTTGTCGATGTTCCCCTATGTGCCAATGACTTTGCTCCAAGCTCTTCATGCAGATTACCTCATTCCTTAAAACAACCCTATGAGGTAAGTACTATTATATACCCATTCTACAGACAAAGAAACTAAGGCATACAGAGCCTAACTGGTGAGCAGAAATTCAAATCTAGGGACCAGTGATTTCACAGTCTCCTGGGAAGGTCTTCAACAATTCCAAAACCCATCCACTTGTAAAAAGATTCCTCTGACATACCTATGGACAGCCCCACTCCTCAGAGTTATTTTTTCCGTGACCATCTGTAGTACGTGATCCCACTGACTCAAGGCTTTTCTAGGGATGAGGAGGCGAGAAGCTGGGCTTATGAGGTCTCCATTTGCAATCAAGCTGGAAAAAAAAAAGGAGCCGAGCTATTTGAAACAGTCATGCCTTTAAAACTATGAAAAAAAAAATTCCAAGCCAAAAGGAAACCAGTACACCAATTATAACTTGAAATATAGAGGGCTCCAACTTACAAGATCGTGCAAGGTTCTCGAAGTGGTTTCCTAAAGCGAGCTGACACATTGATCCTGCTGTGAATCACTGGTTTTACCTTTAAAAGAAAAGAAAAGAAATATAAATCACTAAGCTTATGTTAGTTTTTGTTGTTGTTTTGGTTTTTTCCTGAGGAAAAACTTCAGGTTTCCAGGGAACTGGCTGAGACTGTCATGCCTTTGTTAAAATCTTGTCTTTTTTCTTATATAAACACTCCAGGCTCACCCTCTATCGATATTATATGCCCTTAACAAAGCTCTCAGGAAAAGAAAATTATCCCCTAAGCCCTGATCATATGGCTGATGATCTCTGCCAACAACAGAAACTACAGACTATTATGAGAATTTTAAGGCAACTTTTAAACAGTGCTTTCTGAAAAACGACAATAAAATGATCCCATAAAATCTTGAGCTCTGAAGTGTCCTCCCCTGCGTCAGCCACATACTGTGTTTTGTCATCTCTCCCATTCTCACTGCACCTGCTTTCTGGTCCCACGGTCCCCACCGGGGGCCTGACCCCACCCTATTCAGACTGACCTCATCAACTTTTCCTGGGCTTCCCTTCCTCTCCTCTCCATCAGCCGCACTCACACCAGCACCCTCCATTCCCACAGCCCTTGCATCTGGGTAGGTCTGATCGTGTCCCCTGTCCTTTTGCTTCCAGGGTGCAGGCTGCTGTCAGAAAGGACTCTCCACCTGAGACAGGGCTTTAGGCATCAGCTGGACCTCAGTACTGCTCAGCCAGCCCTCTACCCTTCCCAAGTCAACTATTTTTTCCATTTCCTACAATGGATAGTCCAAATCATTACCTCTTGTGCTAAACCCTAAAATCCCACTCTGGATACACACACCCTCAGCAAATCATTTCATTTCAAACTTCAAGAAAATAGAAGCCACAGGCACAAAGCCCTGCAACCTGCCTTGCCTCCACAACCCAGCTCTTGTATGTCTTTGCCACTTTTCTCCTTCCCTGCTGGTGTTAGAAGAAGAATCTCTGTCCCTTTAAAAAGCTAATCCTCCCATCTTGATTTTGTCCCCTGCTATCTCTACTTCTTCCATTAATTCTAATACTTTCCACCCCCAACTGGTGCCTTCAGTTCTCCCTTGACCCTACGGCCGTCTTCAGTACATCCTCACCCATCTCTCTCCTCATTATTCATATTCCTGCTCCCTCCCACCCTATCCTCTCTTGTCTTCTGCTCTCTGGTTTCTACCTATACCCCTGCAAGCAAGGTACAGCCCAACTCTTAAGCGTGGCTACAAGAACCCCCATGACCAACCACTGCTTACATGATGCCCTCATCTCCTACCAATCCTCCCTCCACCCAGACCCCCAGTTGTGCACTTTCATGGAACGAGGCTACTCCCCTCCATTCCCCAAACATTCCCTCCATCCACTCCTTGCCTTTGCTAATCTTGCCCCTCTGCCTAAAATGCCCTCCCATGTCTCCACCTGCTGAAATTCCATCTGCTTTTCAAGGTCCAGCTCAGTCCTCACAATCCTTCCCTGCTCCTCCTCCTCTAGCTTTCTGTCTCAAACTGCTACTGCTACTATAGTATCAATGACAGCACTTTTGTTTTTAGGGGTGTTTTCCCCATGATTTGAAAGGGAAACTTATAAGCAAAGAGATCTGGTTAATAAAAATAGCTAACATTTATTGAGCTATAGTTTATGGCAAGCACTCTAAGTAATTCACATGCATTTTATATATATTTTAATCATCAAAACAATGCCCTGAAATATTATTACTATAGCCCCATTTTCCATGAAGAAACTTAATTAATTAATCTGCCTAAATTCAGACATAATAAGGGGGAGAATTTTTAGTGAACCTATATCTATGAACCACCAACTATTTGCTATGCACTTTGCTAGTTATTTTAGAGATCAAATATTAGCCCTAAATCATTTATGTGAACTTCACCTCTGTAAAATTATGCAAACTTTGACAGAAAGAAGGTAGATTTCTTCTATGATTCTCCGGTGCCTAAAATAATGCTTGGTAATGGCTGCTAGTTACACTATAAATTTTTATTGAAAGTTAGTTAAAAGATACTCCAATTTAGAGAAGATTTTTTTTAATTTAATTATATTAACTTGCTCTATTTTAAACCCATAGATCCTTGACCCTAAACTAACATTTACAGTGATGTTGCCTTTTTAAAAAATGTTTAAAAGGTAATGGCACGGGCCGGCCCGGTGGCGCACTGCTACAGTGCGCCGCTTGAGAGCGTGGCGGCACTCCCGCCGAGGGTTCGGATCCCACGTACAGACTGGCCGCTCACTGGCTGAGTGAGGTGCGGGCGCGACGCCGAGGGTTGCGACCCCGTTGCCGGTCCCGGTCCGGTACGGGCGCGACACTGAGGGTTGCGATCCGTTGCCGGTCATGAAAAAAGACAAAAAGGAAGAAAAAAAAAAAAAAGGTAATGGCACTTTGACACAATTCAAGCAATTAAATGGGGCATATAGTAAAAAGGAAGTGTCCTTCCCACTCCTGTTCCCTAACCACCAACTTGCAACCAGAATTAGCAACATTCCTTCAAAGATAGTCTATATATATATAT